ACTTCAGCTCATCTTCTAGAACAAATTATCTGTACTTTTAAGGCTTCCACCAGCAGCACTTGTATACAGACAAACCACACCTGGCACTAAGTGTTCACAAAAATATGTCTGCAAGGCTCTAATTTTGCTCTGCTGTCCTACTGAGGCCTCTTAGACCCAAACACCATCACTGTTCCCTTTTTGTTCTGTGAGAGCATCAGAAAACAAGAATCAGAACAATATGACATGTAGTTTCCTTACTAGGGACAGCACAGTACCTGGGGGGGTGTTACTTTCCACAGGATTTGGCCCTGGTTGTGAGGTGTTTGTTTTCACTTAATGACACACAACTAAACTATACAACTACTAAAGCTGGTTCTCAGAGCCCTGCTAAAAATTCCCCACACAGTTGCCTGGGTAGGATATAAAACTCTAGCCTATTCTTAGAAGTGTGTATCTGTAGCAGTTGGAAAATGCTAGGTTGCAAGCAATGCATTCCACAACATGCTTAAGGCACTGACTATTTCAGATCCTTGGTGGGTTTATTTATTTCAGTTTACATTTTAAAAAAACAACATCCTCCCCTACCAAAGGCCACCAAAAAAAAAGGGCAAAAAAAATCCACAAAACGAACACAGTCCTATCACTTATCTAGGCACCAGAGCAATTAACCCATTCTGTTAGGAGTCTCACATTTAATATCACCACAGTAACTACACCTAAACTATTCACTGAAGTGTGACTTTTAAATGTTATAGCTGCTTTGAAAAGCTTCCCACATTTCATGTTCCATAAAACATTTCCAAAATACAAAATTGACAAGTGTCCGGGAACATTAAAAAGGCTGCGAAAACCATGGTTAACTGATTAGAAAATAATCACAATACCATTTGTAGTTGGTCTCCCCTGTGCATATAAGATACACACCTACCATAGAAGAGATGCCCAAGCTCGTGCTGCATTCTAAAACCTCTCTATAATATTGAAAGATATGTGAGCTGCAGATGTATTATAGAATATAATTAAAATAATCAATGTATTGAAAACAATTGAAGATAATGAGCAAAAGTTGTTTCTTCAGTTTGACTTTTCAGAGTTATGAATAGCAACAGGAAGGGAGTTGTACCGAAAGAAGTATAATAGTTCAAGGCTTTTCCTCCCAGAGATTCAGGGGGTGTGTCTACTCAAACAAGAAAAGGAGGTAGAATTTAGTTTCATAAAACTGTATAAAATGGAGATATTTGGATATCATTTTGCTTCAGTCAGAAGACCTAAGAAATGCATTATGTTAAAAGACCTGCCCAGTAGGGCATTACTTCTCCAAAACTGCCTTGAAATTTAATCTCTCATGACAGCTGGCAGATGTTTTGTAATGAACTTCCTCTAAGATCCTAAAATGTACACTTTTTTTGATAATTTCAAATGTATCATTTGATGGACTTCTTTTAGATTTTCAAATTTCTATTTCTGGTTGGCTTATTTTTTTCACCTTTAAAATGCAAAAATTGTGGTTCTAGTTGGAAAAGAGACCTTTTCTCATTCAACTAAGGCAACCCTGACACCCGACCTTTGGGTCAGTTAACAGGATGGTTGCAGTACACATTTCCAGTGAGGGACCTTCAATGAAATTTATCTCCTCTCCATTCCTG